AAACCCAACGGTTTCAACCCAACGGTTTCAAAGCCATTTTTACACCAAAAAGAAGCCTTCAAACCCCAAAGTTGTTAGAAATCTACTTTCTAGATGATTTCTAACTCTTATTTATAAATTCATAATCGGTGAACAATAATGGCTAAGGGCCAAAAAATCGAAAAGAAAAAAAAATTTTCTCAAGAAAAAACTGAACGTGAATTAGCTCTGATACCAATTGTTAGAACTTAAAAAAAATTCACATTCAATTTCGAGAGAAATAAACCATAGATTAGCGGAAGCGTACCGGAATCCATTAGATCGATTGCACAAGATATGATCTTCCAATCTGCAGATTTTCCAAATTTTCCTTAGTTTTCTTGTTGATGGGGTGCAAGAAAAGGATGTGTCTCTCTGCAAATTGGGGACCATCACCCTTTGAAGTAACTACCAGGCGGTTACAAAAAAGTTTTGCTTAATTCTAATTATGCCCCTCATCAAATTAGAATTTGCACTTATGGTATCCACACTATAATATCATGACAAATGTGCCCAAAGTCATAAACTTAATTCTAAATTAGACTACAATAATTTTGACTTATTTAATGATGACCCAACACATTTATTAATTACATTGTAATCCCAAAATTAATCCAACATTGCCAGCCTTCTATTTTTCTCATCAGAAAATAAAATTTTTATTTATTTATTTATTTAATCTGGTACTTATTGGCTGCCATCGCAGCTAGCTTTCAACTTCCAACAATGGTATTAGAAGTCATTTTGGCCTCTCCAATTACTTTTAGCTTTCGGAAAGCCACATGTTTATGTTAAAATATTCAATTTAAATTTGGGTATAAAACACGTTTTTTATGTTTTATATATTAAAATTATTTGTGTGCCAATTAAATTTATGTGTAGGGCTCTCAAAAAAAGCTTGTTGTTCACGAACAGTTCGTGCTCGGTTCGTCAATGAATTCATGTTCGATTTGTTCGACAAGTAAACAAGACGAACGTGAACAAATTTTTTTCATTCGGTTAGTTAAACGAACCAAACACGAACACTGATGCGTTCGTTCGTGTTTGAATCTTTGTTGGTCAAAATATAAAATAATTTAAAATAATTATATATATATAATTTATGATAATATTAGTGATGTCAAACTGGCTTGTCGTTCGCGAACAGCTCGTGTTCAGCTTGTTCGTTAAGAAACGAACACGAACAGTGACTTTCCGAATAATTTCGAACACGAATTTATTTCAAACAATAAATTTCAAACGAACCAAATACGAACATAAGTTCTGTTCGTTCTTGTCCGATTCATTTACACCCCTAGTTACGTGAACTTAAGGTATCATTCCAATGGTATATTTGACAATATTCTGTTGCTTTTACATCGTTTGTTGCTATATATTTTATTGATTTTGCTATTTTTTTTTAATATGTAATCACTGTTGTTGTAGCATGCACAATGATTTTGTGTAACTTGTGAGGAATATATATAGACGGATAGAAATAAAAATTTGAGAGCGAGAAAAATGAAGAGAATATTTGTTCAGGACAATTGTTCATTTTATTAATTGTCATGTCAAATGTTAATTGTTTGATGTTTATATAGTAAACATTATGAAATATAATAATTTAGAGCACGGGCCGGGATTCCACAACATGAAACAAGCAACAACAACAACAAAAACAAACAAAATCTTAATCCCTCTAAGTGGGGTCGGCTACAGGAATCATTTTTCTCCATTGTGTCATATTTTCATTTAATTCTAATAAATTAATATCATTTTTTATACAATATGCCCAAGTCATACTAGGTCTACCTTTCTTAATATAAGTTGAATCTAAAACATCTACTCCTCTAATCGGTTCATCGGATAGTCAGCGTTTAATGTGACGAAACCATCTAAGACGACTTTTTCTAATTTTGTCTTTCACCGAAGCTACACCAATCTTATTGGGGATATATTCATTTCGTGTTTTGTCTCAAAGTGTAAAACCACTCATCCACCTATTCATTCTCATCTCGACAACACTTAACTTAGTTATAGGCTTCTCTTTTGAAGGCCAACATTCAGCGCCATAGAGCATTGCAGGTCTGATGGTGTCTTTCCCTCAAGTTCAATATCTCATTGATCTCAAGAGATGGCTAATACAAAATCACTCTACAATGTTGGAAGACTCATCAACGGTAATAGAAAGAAAGTTGAATTAGCAGCCAAAGAAAGCTCTCCTTTTCTCTCATTAGTTCATTAAATAGCAAATTTCATTGCTATCTTCTCATCCCAACTGGGAAAGCAATAACTAGGAAATTAAATTACAAAAGCAATAAACATTATTTCCCCATCCAACTGCGAAAGCCATAACTAGGAATTCAAATTAAGAAAACAATAAACATAACATAATTAAGCACAGAATCTAAGTTATTAATTTCCAAAACTCCTTTGTGAATGCATGGATTATGGAATTAAGTTATAACCCTTCTGGATTTGCATTAATTCTTTTCGGATTTGCATCATGTGACCACCATCTTATAAAATTTTCCTTTCAGTCTAAGCGATACTTTTCTATCACACAATAGACCCGAAGTATTCCTCCACTTCAACAAACCAACTTGAATTCTACTAATAACATCCCCATCAATAGCGCCATCACTTTGAACAACAAACCCGAGATATCTAAAGCGTTTACACCATTTAATAATTTGATCACCCATAGTTACATTTATGTTACTAGAGCTAGTGCTACTAAAATTAGATTCCATATATTTAGTTTTAGTTATGCTCAAACAAAGGCCTTTAAACTCCAAGGTAGACCTCCATAATTAAAGTTTTTCCTGAGCTTTTTCTCTTATCTTATCCACAATAAGCATATCATCAGCAAAAAGCATGCATCAAGGAACATCCTCCTGTAAGTGTCCAGAAAGACCATCCATAAAGCAAAAAGACATGAGCTTAAAGCCGATCCCTGATGTAAACCAACAAAAATAAGAAAATATTTGATCAATCCTTCTTTTGTTCGAACACAAGTAACAGTTCTTGAGTACATATCTTTAATGACTTGAATATAAATCATATCAACACATTTTCTCTCAAGAACTCTCCAAAGGATATCTCTTGGAACATTATCGTAAGCTTTTTTTAAATCAATAAAAATCATAAGTAGATCTTTCTTATTATCTCTGAACTTCTCCATCAAACCTCTCAATAAATGTAGCTGAACCTTAAATTTTTGTATGAAATTTGAGTTGAATTTTCAGAATGATTAGAAGGCGAAAGCGAAGGCCATTCCCACGATTCCTTTTAAGATTATGTACTCCATAGTTTTAAAAGTTCTTCATAATTCAGGGCCAGCCCACAGCATCCTCAAAAGTTAGTTACGGCCCAGTAAACATTCAATGATCCAATAAGCAACCCATATCATTTTTTCTTACGGCTGTGCTCCCAATATAGAAATGGCACCCCAAGGAGTGCTGCAAAAGAGCGCGTTATCTGTGAATAGTTTATGTTTGGCTCGCTAAAAAATTTGTGTTTGATTTGCTCACTATGTTAACGAGTCGAACACGACCATTTTTTTTTTCTGCTAAATGTATAAACGAGCTAAACACGAATAAGGATTTGTTCGTTCGTGTTCATCTAGTCTTGGCTCTAAATAATTGAATTATATATATATATATATATATAATACACAGATTTTATAATCCATTAAAATTATTAATTAGAAAATATAATAAAAATATAATAAAATATATTTAAATGATGTTTTAATATAATTAAATTAGAGTTAAATTTCGCCCCAACCCTTAACACCCTATGACCTTATAATTAGGGTTGTCACAACGACTCTTTGTTCGCGAACAGACCGTGTTTGGCTCGCCAAACAAATAAGCAGAACAACAACACATTTTTTTGTTCGAAATATAAATAAGCCGAACATGAACAATGATATTTTTTAACCAGCAAAACACGAGTTGAGCCTTGACTCGTTCTTGTGTTCGGCTCGTTTGCACCCCTAGCCGCAACAGAATAAAAGTTATGCTATTTGAGATCAATTTTATTTTTCTTCTTTGTAATTTTTAAAATATATGTGAAGTACATTTTGGTTTTTTCCCATATTTTTTTATCTTTTATTTTTAAAATAATTGAACTTATTTTTGAAAATACTGAGAACATCTAAAAATTATTTTCAATATTTAAAAATTTTAATTTTTTTTAAAATAATATATAAATTAAAATAATATAGATTAAATATTGT